AAGGGAAAAATCTTTCAGTGGGCAGAAATTCCAGTATCCCATCTTGTTATCTACTTCTCCTAGAAGAGGAGCCAAGAATAGCCAAGGTACTCTAAATGAAGAAAAGATGCAAGAACTTGCTCTACTAGATACCAAGTTTTATTATAAAGCCAAAGTGGTATTGGTGCAGGTATAAAAAATATGCCAATGGAAATAATTAGTGAATCCAGAAGGAAACTTACCCAAGTGTGGGTAGTAATATGTGAAGATAGTGAAGAAAGTTTTATAAATAGTGCTGGGAAAATTGGTATCCGAGTGGAAAAGTAAATTATGTTGGATTCTCACTTCATACCATGCACAAAAATTAATTTCACTTGTGTTAAAGTCCTAAATGGTGAAACACCTTAATGAGCATAGAACATTTGAAACTGTCTTTATTACCTTGAGGTAGAGAACAAGACACATAAAAAAACTAACCATAGAAAAAGTTTGATAAATTTAACTACATTAAAGTAATTCAACTTATTAAATAAGTCATCAAAAAATATCAAGTGAATGAAAAGGCAAGCCACAGAGTGGGAAAATATATTTATGAGACATAAAGACAAATGAGAAGTAAAATCCAGATACGTCAAGAAAACCTTTATACTGTTAAGAAAAGATAGACATCCCAATAGAAAGGTGCATGAATGATTAAACAGACACTTCACAAAAGGAGGATATTCAAATGGCTAAGAAATGCAAAAATGTCTCACTTCTTTGGTGATCAAGATGAAGGAAATTAAGACCAAGTGAAATACCACTACACATCACCCGTCAGATTTGCAAATATTAAAATTCTGACGATAATGAGTGCTGGTGAAGATGTGGAGCAACTGGAACTGTCGCTTGTTGATATCGTTACAACTACTTTGGCAGATACAAATGTTCCTGGACTTACAATGAGGTTACATCCCAACAAACCCATCGTAAGTTGAAAATATTATAAGACAAAAATGCATTAAATGCATCTAACTTACTGAATCTACCCTAAACATGTTCAGAATGCTTAAATTACAAGTGCAATTGCTGGGTTACAGATCAAGCACACATTCAACTTTTCCAGATAACCTCCAACTACAGATGGTCCCCAAATCACAATGGTTCAACTTAACATTTTTGACTTTACTATGGTGCAAAAGCAATATGAATCAGTAGAACATCGATAAATTACAGGAGATATTTAATACTTTATTATAAAATAGTCTTTGTGTTAGATGATAACCCAGCCATTGCACTTCTGGGATTGATAACTGAAATGCGGACATACATGTACACCAGAGTATAAGCATAAGAATATTTATAGCTTCCATATTCAAAATAGCTCCTGGAAAGAACCTGGCTGTCCATCAATAGGACATTAGAGACTTAATCATAATTTATTCATAAGTAATATACTATACAACAACAAAAAATAATCTCAGCCATATGCAACAACACAGAGAATCTTAAAATGTAGTATTGAGCAAAAAATCAATACACCAAAAAGTTATAATGTGATTCCATTTATATAGATCTCAAAAACAATTAAAACTAACCAATATATTAGAAAAGGACATACAGATGATAAAATTGTAAGAAAAAAATAAGCAAGGAAAAGGCAATCTTTTTTTCTTTTTTATATCTTTTTCTTTTTTGTTTTATTTTTATTCTTACTTGGAAATGGTAATCCTTTAAAGTCAAGATTCTAATTTATAATTCAGAATGGATGAATGAGGGGCATATGCCGTTCTCACAGAATTTCCTTTCGTAACCAAGGCAGTGGTGACAAGGTGTTTACTTAATCATTACACATTATCTCATATTTTTCTATATGTACATTTTAGCATAAAATTTTAAAGTTCAAAATTAATGAATTAGGCTAATAGGTCAATAGGAAACCACAAATTTCTCAGAATATATCAAAAGGGCAATGGTTAAAATCAAATACATATTCTTGATTTGGGGGGAAAAAAAGGATCTTAAAATCTAGATATAGAAAGAGATTTCCTAAAATGAAGTGTTAAAAATAATATGTGTATCAAACAGTCACCATCACGTCTAACAAGCAAACACAAAACACTTTCTTCTTTAGGTTAGTAACAAAATAAGGTTGCCTGTTACCAAGCAAACTACTTAATACTGCTCTGAAACTTCTGGAAACTCTTGCTTTTCCTTCCTCAATTTCTACCTTCCTCAGTCTTCCCCATCTCAGCAAATAGCAGTGTCATTCATTTAGCATCTTGAGCCAATAACTGAGGAGTCAGTCTTAATTCTGCACTTTCATTCACTCCCTTACTTCTAATCCATTATTATATCTTGTTGGATCTAACACCAAACATACTTCCTGAGTATGTTCATTTATATCCACCTCTATTACCACCTTATTCTAAGCAGTTGTCATCTCTTTTTTTGATCATTGCAAGAGTCTCACACCTTCCACTTGACCCCACACAATCTCTTCTCTACTCAGCCTCCAGAATGATCATTTAAAAATGGAAAACCGGTCCTGTCACTCTTCCGCATCAATCCTCCTGACTATACGATGCTGTAAAGGATCACGTCCTGCGTGTGCCAAGCAAAGCCCATGGTCCTCCACGTGCCGACGTAAAGGTAGGGTGTGTCAATGGTTTTGATGACTATTTCACATTCCTGCTCCAACAAGTTCAATATTGTTCTCAGGTTTCAAAGCTTTTATCATATAAGGAGCTGCTGATTTTAATATGATATTTTGGTCATGTATAATGGGTCTTCAAATATTTCCACTCTAAATCCTCAAATTCAACCTATGCCTGGGCTTGATATCCACCTCTGGGGCTTCCCCCCCACCCCAAGTATTCAGTAAATGCATCTTCCCTTCCTTCGCCCTCTGCTGGACAAGACACCTGTCTGAAATGATAACCTCCTCTTGCCTCATATTAAAATCTAATACAAATTTTTAAGACTTAAAATCTCCAAAATATAAAAACTTTAAACTTGTAAACTCTATTACAAATGTTAAAGGTCTTGCCTTAATTTCTTTTACATACATATTTTTTAAAAAAGAAAAGAAACAAGGGGTGGGGAGATAAATGGACAATTATCCATTGATATGAAATCCTGATTTCACATGAACATATTCTGAGACCAAGAAATATGTTGCCCCCTTTGGAATCCACCTCAAAATGAGACAGCATGGATTGATGATCTGGTTCTGTGTTCCATTAAAAATTGAATTCAGTCAGCACCATCCCTTAGCACTTTACAAATATTAACTTATGGAACTGTCCAATCAACCACAAGAAGTAGGTGCTACCCCTATTCGAAGTTGAAGAATTGAGTCATCATGAAGTTAAGTAATTTTTCCAGGTCACACAAGCTGGTAAAGGTCAAGCTGGGCTTCAAAAATCAGTCTGCCTTGCTTTAGCATTCATCATGTTAACAAATAATCTGTGTTCTGGGAATTTGGATACTTTGGCTTGTTTCCCTCAAATCTAAGGTGATAGAGAATTTTTAACTTCCCAGAGAGAAGGATCTCCAGTTTTCTGACTTTTAAAATAAAATTTCTAGTCTTATTGCATAGTAATTAAGAATGTTTGGTGGTTTTCTTATTTTGTTTTTAGAATTTATGGATATTTTCTTTTCATCCTATCACATTGTCAATTTTGTGATTGATCTATTAGCATCAAAAAGGGGGAATTTTCTCTATTACCAGTTACATGCATACTGCCTCATTGTCAATGCACTGTAAGTATTCTGTGTCATTACACATTTCTATTTTTTGCTAACTTTTACAAGGTAAAATGAGTTAAATTTCCCTACTTGAAATTTTTCAACTAGTATAGTATAATTTATAATTTATCAAAGTTGCATGGATATTTATAACTTCTATATTTTCACTGTGAAATTTAGCCTTTAATATTATAAAGAGCTCTTCTCTGTACCTTTGGTCTCAATTCTAGTTTGTCTGATCAATTGGCTCCAGGTTTCTTTCTGTTTTCATTTTCCTTGGCATAGTGTTGACCATTCTTTTTTCTTCAGCCATTCTGAATCAATTTGTTTTAGATATTGTTTTAAATAATTCTAATTTTAAAATACATGGTAAGGAGTTTCCTTTCTTTGCTTTGCAGATACACAATAGGAATAACAAATTTAATAAACATCAGTAAAGTTACAAAGCATCTCTAAGGCCAGAAGTGAATGACAGACTCAACTGGTCAAAAGGTCTAGTTTCTGCACGAGCAGTAGTTGGTGGTGGCCTGGGAGGCAGGACATGTCACAGTTGGAGGAGCACAAGGAGCTCCTGGGCCTCCTTGGGGCTGTAGCAATGTCAAGTGGAAGCCAGGGGCAGAGACTCAGAAGCCCAGATGCAACGTGGGGATGAAGTAAGGGACTCAGCTGGATTCTCAGCCTCATCCAGTGTTGGCCCAGATTACTGCGGGAGCTGGATCCATAGCACTGCAGGGAAGAGTCTTGAGGGTGATATCAAACAAGAGGTGTCCATAGCATCTAGAACATGGAAGAGGACACAGTCATATCAGTGTTGAGAAGTGGGCTGGGAGCCCCTGAGAGGTACTACAATATTCGGGGCAGGAAGGACCACTTCATTGACTACTGGGAACCCTGGTTGTCATAGCAGGAAAACGTATCTGGCACCTTGGAAATGTGTCAGTTCTTGCAGGTAAAAGCGTCTCCACTGGGGAGAAGCCCAAGCCAGAATCGTCACTTGGCTGGGACCTTCTGTGGTTTCTGGGGCTGATGCCAAAGGCATAGCCACAATTGACAACATATTCAATAGCCATGGGTTCAGAGGATTAAGATCAGTCTCTGGTGGCAAATATATCAGACCTCAAGAGGTGCAGCTCCATCTAGCTTTAGTCCCAGGAGATCAGTAAGGGTACAGGAGATTCTAGCAACCTCAGCTGGGTCTGTGATCCTAGAGACATAAGAGTGGTGCATGGCTACAGCCTCAGCCAAGTTCACAGGGGCTGTGCAGTTCCCAGCAGCATCCCTGAAGAAACTTCTCAGGGGCAGGATGAGGATGGGGGCATCAGGTCGGACCCTGTCAGAGATTCACTGTGATGCTCTCCAGGGATTTCAGGCACAGGCCGGGGTGCTTTGGAGCTCTGGGATCCAGTGTCCCCGAGGTATAAATATGGGAACACAGCAGCACTGTGAAGACTTCGCAGGATGCTGGGGTGAGGGCTGGAAGGTTCCAGCTTGTCCGATAAAGTTCCATCCACAGGCAGGTGCTGGCGATCAGGACCCGAAGCTGAGAGCGCTGTGCCCACCAAGCGGCACCTCTTGGTGGGAGCCTGAATGGTCGCCTCCAGGGCCCCAATTGCCAGAGGACGATAACAAGCACGTGTGTCAGTTGCTGGGCAGAGAACGGGGACGGAGAGACCCGAGAACAGCGGGGCCGCGGTGGACTCCTCGCGGCTTCGGGCAGCAGCGAGCCTGGGCTGGGCAGCGTCTTCCCCGGGCACCTCGCAGCAGGGCTCCCGACACCCAGGGGCTCCGTGGCAGCTCTCACTACCCTCGTCCACAGCCCCGGGAAAGGGAGGGTCTAGCATGAGAGAGAGGAGCCTCAGGCAAGGTGCAGCACGGCCGGTCGCCCCTTCCTCCCTCCCGGCGGTCAGCTCCGGGCTGGCCGGCGCCCCGGGCCCCGCGTGATCCACGACCGGCCGGTCCTGCCCGCGTTTCCACAGCTCGTAGCGCTCGGGTTGCAGGATGCGCACGAAGGCGTCCATGGAGAAGCTCACCCTGGCCTCCCCGCAGCTGCACTGAGACGCCACTTTGCCATAATCCACCCATCGCGGGGTGGCGAAGTTGATGGCTTCCGCGCAGTTGAAGCCGTGGTTGAAGCCAGCATGGTAGCCATAGGGAAACGTCACCATGAACTCTCCAGCCTCCTGAGTCATGCGATTGCAGGGAATGCCGTTCTTCTTGAGGACAGTGGGCGAGATGAGAGCCACCTTGTGCCGCAGGAAGGCCTCACAGTCTCGGGAAGTCCCCAGGAAAAGCTCCCTGGCCAGGCGTTCCAGCCTCTGGCCGTGTTCTGGGGGCACGTTGTACCACGTTTTGGGCTCCCCGAAGTGCAGGTAGTTGATGCTGTAAAGGTCCATGTCCTCCGTGTGCCAAGCGAAGGTGGCCTTCCACATGCCAAAGTACAGGTACGGTGTGTTGACGCCTTCAATGAGAACTCCACATTCCTGCTCCAGCAGATCCAAAATCGTTCCCAGGTGACCAAGGTTCCATTGTTTGGTGTTTTCATCAAATAAGGAGCCGCTGATGTCAGCACCATAAATTGGTGAATTGCTGAGGCGGTTCTTCCAGTATTTTCGCTCCAAATCTTCAAAATTCAAGTGTGGTGGAGTCCGATAGTTTTCACTGTTTGCCAAGTGGCGATAGTCCCCCACAGTCATGGCTTTCTTCTTTTTATGGTATTGAGTGAACACACCTGCCCGCCCAGAGACCACCTGCTGGAGAGGAGTGGCTATTAAGATGTCATTGATACCATCATAGTTCTGTCTGGCTTTCCATTCCTTGGGTGGAATTACCTTGGCTAGGCCAGCTCGGTGTGCACCCTGGGATTCCATGTAAGCAATATATTTGTTGAAATCTGTAAATTCTTCCATGGTTGGGTGGAATGTCATAATTGGAGACCTCGGGGTCTGGTTCCCAGAGTGCTCAGGTTTCATGGCTGCAATATAGTAAGGGGCACACTCCTGACCTCTCAGATATGTTCCTGACACCTGAGAGTGCTGGGGGGTAATTTCTTCTCTTCTTCCTTTACTTTTTTGAATGCTTTGGTTTATAGACAATTCAGTGACTCAGACTTGAACTTTTAAACCAATGAGATGGTATCTTTCCCAGGCTTGATCAGTGTCTTTTGTCCAAGGGAAAGAATATCTCCCAGTGGAGGCGGCACTGCAACCCAAGTCCTAGTACAGCCTACAGCTCCCTGAGGCTCCTCAGTTGGGGTTGAAACTGTCTCTGAGGTCCCTCCTGCTTCTCACACCTGGGTGCATGAGTAGCTTTTCACTCCAAATAGGTCTCTTCTGGGATAAACGCTAAACCTAAACAAACAAACAAAAATGCAGAATATTTAAATATGGGTAAATGACAAAAAAAAAAAAAAAAAAAAAAAAAAAAAAAAC